TGTATGTGTGTATGTATGTCTATGTATGTCTATGTATGTCTATGTATGTGTATGTATGTGCATGTATGTGTATGTATGTGTATGTATGTGTATGTGTGTATATGTATATGTATGTGTCTGTGCATGTGTGTGTACAGGTGTATGTGTATGTGTATGTGTATGTGTATATGTATGTGTATGTGTACGTAGGTGTGTGTATGTATGAACGTGATGTAATGTAATGTAGTGCAGTGTAATGTAATGTAATTTAATGTAATTTAATGTAATGTAATGTAATGTAATGTAATGTAATGTAATGTAATGTAATGTAATGTAGTGTAATGTAGTTGTAATTGTAATTGTAATTGTAATCGTAATTGCGATTGTAATTGTAATACTAATGTAATGTACTGTAGTGTAATGTAATGTAATCGAAGTATGTACGTATGCATGTAGGCCCGTATGCATGTATGCATATGCATGTGTATGCATGTGTATGCATGTATGTATGTATGTATGTATGTATGTACGTACGTACGTACGTATGTATGTATGTATGTATGTATGTATGTATGTATAGATGTATGCATGTGTATACAATGTGTATATATATATATATATATATGTGTGTGTGTATGCCTGCTGTCTACATGTCGGTACATAGAATATATTCTGTATTTGTGCTAAAACATCGAGTCTTATATTGTAATGTGCGCTGTCTTCTTGGCAGGCCTTCTCCTTGGGGCAGGCGACCGTGTCCGTGGACTCTGTGAGGCTCTGCTGGTAAGGGATGTAGAAACCTGGCGTCGGGGCATCAACGGCTGCTGAAGACGTGTATCAAAACTCGAAACCGACAGGAACTCTGCTGCCCAGGTGCTGTTGGCGAGGCCCGGGGCAGTCTTGAGATATTCGTAGGCACCCTCCAGAGCAGGGCTGGCTGATTGCAGCTAACTGTTCTGACCACGTCTGCAAGCAGATTCGATGCGTGCCACCACATGAGGAACGGCGGCTCACGCTGTGGACGGCCTCCGTGAAGCCCCCGTTGCATCCTGTTCGGGAAGAACACGGAGAGCTTTTTGGGTTTCGGGGTCCACCCGCTGCCAGCCGCCCGCCTTGGCAACCATAAGTTCCAGTGCTGGGCGCACAGCTGGTGATCTGCTGTGGAGACAGTGCGATGTCGTACCTGCCAAGACACAGACAAGCAACGGTCGATGTACCTTTCTGTTTACGGCCTACTAGCAGCTCTTGAAGGTTGAGTGTTGGTGTGATGGATCGGGTTGAAAGATAGTCTCATCCCTGACACCAAACACGAGGCATTTCTGCATTCCAGCCCGCCTGGCATCCCCTTGATCTCTCAGTGCGTTAACGTGCTGAGCTGCTGAGTTGCTTTGGTGATTCTGAATGGCAGCTACAACATTGAAGCGGGGACTGCAAATTCCCCATGGCGGCGGAGCCTGCCGCCGGAGGCCAGGATCAGCTGGGACTCGATGGCTTCAGTTGCACTGAAGGCCCAGCCTGTGGGATTGGGCCGGGGTGCCCAGGAAAGATGCATCGGCTGGCCAAGTGCAGCCAACACACAGGAGCCGCATTGTCCTGCCCGGGCTCTTATGATTCCAGAGCTGAGTACTCATTACGCCCAATGGCATGAAGTGAAGCAACTCCGGAGGACATTCCTTTGCGCACATGCTGGCGAAGCTGGCTTACTGCAAAGAACTGACTCGAAAACTGCATTGCGATGCATCGCCGAGAACAGTAGACCAAACAGAAGTGCTCCGGAACCTCAATTCACTCTGCATCGCGCGCGTCCAGTCGCCAGCATAGGCCGAAAGGAAGACACATGGAGCACTTCAGGCAGGGAAATATAGGGTTAGTGGCAGAGGTCGTCGTCGCAGCATAGTCACAGAGATAGTCCCAGTCGTGGTAGTCGTCGTCGTCGTCGGTCGTCGTCGTCGGTCGTGGTCGTAGTCGTCCTCGTCGTCGTCGTCGTCCTGAGAACACAAAACCTAAGCGCTGACACCCGCGATCCTGAGAGGGTCGCACAGTTCGATGGTACATCAACAACAAGAACATCGCAACAAACAAACTCCAGATTGCAAAACCACAGCGACGGGGCAACCCGGCAGAAAAGAATCAACTTCGGACTTAATCGGGAGTTCATGTTCCCTGAACCCCCCATGGAGGCGCCTTGATTCTTGATGGGCGTCACCGCCTCCGTGAGGCGCCAGTCAACGGCCGTGGCCGTGGCGGCATCGGAGAAGTTCTGCACCGGTGCAACGGGGACGAAGCCCTTGGGCTTGCGGTGCCCCCTGGCGAGGTGAGGCAGCTAGGGAGGTCAAAACGGCAGTTTCAGGCGTACCTGGGGCCCGAGGCCTCTTGTACTTCTCCTCCTCATGACGGTCGGCCATCCAGGTGATGCCAAAAGCGGGCTCACCATTGAGCTTGTTCAGGTGATCGACTCGTTGCTGCGTGGCCTTGAACCTTACACATGTTCGACTCACAGACACTTCATCGAGATCTTCGACGAGCCCAAGAAAGGGACAGCTGGTAGCGGGCCGCTTCATCGCCCTTGCTGGAATAGCTCCTTACTGCATCTGCACTTCCCGCAAGCGAAGCCAGGACTCAGCGAACAGAAGCCAAGAGTCTTCTTGTACTTGTGCTTGAAGGCCTCCCAGTCCGGGTCAGAGATAGCAGCCACCGCCGCAGGAAGAAGAAGAGTCCAGGCCAAGGCACGGAACATGGTTGCAAGCCGAAACCTGAAAGCCCTGGCGCTGTTTGTTCAAGCCTTCGTCGAGCCAAAATGCTCAGATGTCGCATGCATTCGCATACGTACTTCACAGCGAACAGCATGCAACTTGTCCAAGCGAAGTTGCCCTCCCTTTTTGGCTTCGTCTTGGTCCCGGCTGCTAGCTCTTGCTGGGGGCCTCCTTGGCAAAGAGACGCGAGGCGGGTCTATCGTTCAATCCAAAACAGAGATCGTGAGCCACAAACTGGTCAACACTCCAAGATAGAGGTGCCAAGATTCCGTTTGATGGTAGGTGACACACCTGCAGCAATTCGGCAAGTCATGATGGAAGCTCCACGATGGCGCGCAGGGACAAAGAGAGCCAGGGAGCCTTCGCTGCTCCAGGTCCCAAACGTGGCCAGCATCGCAACCTGAGGCCGACCGCACCTTAAGCCCTGTAAGGTGGCACCACTGGGTCCGCTCCTCTCAGCTCCGCACAACAGGACCATCCACAGGGATGGCTTAGCTTGGCATCGCAGCGGCCGCATGAGAAGGGATCAGAACAGTTCGCCTCCTCGTGCTGAAAGAGAGAGGGACGTGAAGTGAAAAACCTCGAAATCCACTCGCCCCCGCTCTCAGATTCGTCCTGCTTCCTCTCCGGCCAGCGATGGGATGCCGGGATGTGGAAGACTTCCACCAGAGGGTTTTTGGCTTTGCCTCGCGCCCCAAGCGTGGCACTAAAAAACGCACGGCGCTTGCCGATGCAAGCAGAATGCAGACTTCACAGGTCTGTCAGACGAGCTGCAGCCGGTGCAGGCATCTTCTTCCACGTCGTAAGTGCACCCAAACATGCAGCAGCAGTGGTTCTTGCCACAGGAGTAAGCATGCCGATCCTCGCTCAAGCGAGCAATCCGCGAGGCTCACCGGAATCCCTCTGTATCCCTCTCTCGCTCTTCCGTGCACCGAGTTTTTCTCTGTGACTCCCAGGCCGAGGCCTGGCAGGATTCCCAGATCTGAGAGCCAGGGATCCTCGGCTCAGGTGCGCGCCCGATCGGGCCACACGTCTGGGGCACAAGAGAAAGAGGGGCTCCTCATGGTGTTGCAGATGTTTGTCTAGCGCGGTAGCACCTTTCCGATCCATGCCTCTGTGCCGAAAGAGCTTCGACGGGCTTTGCAGCAACATAGCAGTTCAAGTGAGCAACATACTTGAAAAGTCGACGGTGAACTAGCCAATCCATGCCTGTGTAGCAAATCTTAAGCTCTCTCTCGATCGATAGATAGATAGATAGATAGATAGATAGATGGATAGATAGATAGATAGATAGATAAATAGGTAGATAGATAGATGGATAGATAGATAGATTCGATAGATAGATAGATTGATAGATTGATTGATAGATAGATTCGATAGATAGATAGATAGATAGATAGATAGATAAATAGATAGATAGATAGATAGATAGACAGATAGGCAGCTAGACAGATGAATAGATGGATAGGTAGAAGCCGGCTACGAAAGCTCGAGCAGAGGACTGGCAGAACTCCAATGCACAGCTTGCAAGTCTCGCAAGCTCTTCCCGTCATGCAGGCTTGAGACATGATGTGGTTATGGTTATGGACAGCACAAGAGTGTCCGGAAATGGGGCTGAAGACGGGTGCAACAACCCCACACTAAGTTCCAAGGCGACCTACAGCCACCGGGAATCACGCCAAGTGGAAGAATCAGTGTAGCCCATCTCCGCGAGCATACGACTGAACCGCTAGTCTTACCAGTGGTGTCGTCTGCAACGCAGCTGACCGCAGTTTTTTCACCGAGGCGCAGCCCGCGCGAAGCTGGACGGCGCGGCACACGAATTCATGCAATCCATGCAGGTTGGCTTCCAATCAGTAAATTAGGACATGGTCTCGAACGTAGCATGTTAGCGTTTGTCGGCCGGCTCTTGGCCCTGAAGTGGCAACTCCGCCACATGCGAATGTAATCTGTCCTGATGGCAACTTAGCTGGTTGCTTCAGGGTCAGAGGTGACGTAGGCCGACTCGGTCATGTGCACAGAGCGCAAGTTGCCACGTTGCTTATGTTGTTTCAGCAGCCTTCCTGAATGGGCTTGGTCTCGAACGTATCATGTTAGGTGCGCCGATGCGAAAGTCATCTGTCCTGATGGCAACTTAGCTAATTGACTAATTGCTTCCGGGTCGGACGTGACGTAGGCCGACTCGGCCATGCAACACAAAGCGCAACTTAGCCGTGTTGCTTGTGTTGCACAGCAGACCTTATGGTGGGGGGGAGGGGGGCGGGACCATAGGTAGGGGGGGGCCCCCCCACCCCACCTTGTTCAGCGGGGGGCGGGGGGGGGGGGCCTCCTTAGTTGGTCTAAAGCAATCATTTGCGTGGTGGCGCGAGGGGGGCCCCCCCTTTAACTATTGAAAACGGACCAGATAAGGTCCTGCATGCTTTTTGCACCTTGATCTCTATTGCCTAGTGAATGGTAAACGACAATTCCCGCAAGCTCACAGAGCTAGCTTTCGTGACAAGATAGACAGATAGTTAGATAGATAGACAGACAGATAGACAGATAGGTAGATGGATAAATCTAAAGATCGATAGATCGATAGATAAGATAGATTAGATAGATAGATAGATAGATAGATAGATAGATAGATAGATAAATAGATAGATGGATAGATAGATCGATCGATAGGTAGGTAAGTAAGTAGGTAGATACACAGATAGATAGATAGATAGATAGATAGATAGACAGACAGACAGATAGATAGATAGATAGATAAAAAAATAAATAGACAGAAAGATAGATAAATAGCTAGCTAGCTAGCTAGCTGAGGTAGGGAGGGGGGAGGGCGTCTGCTTCGAAGCACAAGAGCGGTCCGAAACTTGAGCTCGCTTCCCAGTGGCTCCTAGCACCCGCTGAGGTGTGGACCTGATCCATCGGCGTGATGCCAATGTCGAGAAGAAGATTCGTGAGTTCGGCAGCCTTCCAACGAGTACCAACAGCACGTGTTTGGTTCACGAGGTGTTGTCTGGCCGGCCTCAATCGTTCCTGAACCGTCCCTGTCGAACTGAAAGAAAGCGCGCTCGTACTCCAGACATTGCTTCTCCAAGTAAAGCCTCACCTTCCAGCAGAAAACACGTATAGATCTCCACCGGAACATACGGCCAAAAATGTTTCGAAAGCCACTGGGAGTCCAACGAACCGGTAGTACTCATCGAAACTCAGGGTCGTGTACCTGGCTCTCAGCATCGCTTCCAGTGAAGCCCACACTGTAGGTAGGGGCGGCACCGTGTGATTGCGTCCACAATGCTTCTCATCCATTCTTCACGAGGGCGGCGGATACCTCATCACCAAGTCATTGCATCAGCAGCAAAAACTGCATTGGGGACGAGTGCGTGACTACTCAAACCCCCCCCCACCCACCCCCCCGGCGTGTTGGTCATACTGGCACAGGTTCAGCTTACAATCCCTTGCGGAAGGTGGCGGTTTGGTGCGCAGCCACTCCTTGCTGGGACGATGACTCATAAGCTCCAGCGCCTTTTCCAGCGAGTCTTTGTGGACCTGTGCGGGTCTGTGCAGGTAGTTCCGAAATCTCCATCGCTGCTTTCAGCCTTATTCTTGCGAAACTGCTCGTCATAGTCGCCAGCACCAAAAGCGTTCTGTGTACGTCTGGGGCCACTCGCTCTACCTCGCTCCTTGAGCTTCTGCCATCCATACACTTGACATATACAATGTAAGAGGGCAGAAACACTCCTTGTGTACTTGGTGCGGGAATGAGCATTCAGAATATGCAGACGGCATAACGACTAGAATTGCCTGCCTTCTCCTACTACTACAGCAGCTGCAACTACACCTGCCTATGCTTGGCGATTGCGACTGCTTCTGCAGGTACTATTGCAACTACAACCACCAGTGCTTCTGCTGCTGCTATAACTACATTTATGTGTCAATGGTGTCTGTGTGTGTGTGTGTGCGTGCGCGCAGTGTGTGCCCAGACGGTGTCATGGCTCGGCAGCAAGTTTGCACATTTCCCTGGCCTCACCGTCGTTGGCCAATCGGTTAAAGACCTGACCAAAGCTGTCACTCAGGTATTCTCTGTGTGAGCGTTGGATTGTAGTGTAGTTGGGGTTAGCAAATCTCACAATGTTTGAAGCAGGGGAAGATTTCGTGACAATACGACTCCGACTCTCAAGTTTCTTGTCCGCTCGAGTCAATAGTTCGTGGATGCGTCAACCGTGAAACCCAACTTGCCGGCACCTTGTGGACGATTTCCTTCCGCGGCATCATTCGGGCCGCGGGGCCGGTGATGATCTCGTCTCCTGCATTCCGCACTCCCGAAGTTGATCTGAGTTGAGTCTCGCCTAACTTCAGCACTTCGCCTGCCATGGACTGAGTCTCACCTCCCTCTGTTGAGGCACCTGGCGAAGATGAAGAAAGACTCCAAACGCACAGCCAAAAAAGGCACTTCTGTAAGATTCTTCGACTTTCCGAGCTTGTACTCGCTGACATGCGCGCCATGTTGCCAAAGGTTCTGTACTCTAGCTGCACGGTGCCTTCTCCAACAGATTGCTGCACGGAGCCCTCCCGATGGATGGACGGCTGCCGCAGAACGGTTGAGCCACCTGGGCGTCGACGGACCCTTGAAGGTGTGGAAGCACGGACTGCCTCCACATGTCTCTGGTATTTGCAAGTGGCAAGCAGTGCCATAGGGGCCGGACAGGCTGTCTCAGTTATCAGTTGAGTTGATTGTGTGTGTGTGCGTGTGCGTGCTGAAGCTCAGCCTCTGAGAAAAAAAGACAAAACCGGTTCAAGAGTTGCGTGTTCTTCTGGGTTTATTGAGGACACCTTAACTGCACGGACTTGACATATGTCTAACATAAGGTGGACCCGACCGATTGCCGATCACCGCTACTTCCACCGCGAGCTCATGACCCGGGAGCCCCACCATGTTCGCTCCGTGGTGAAGCTGGTGCTTGCATCGCCTGGATGACCATCGGTTCTGATTACGAGCAATCGCTATGTTCTTGCTTCTCGGGACACAGAAGAAGCCAATCCATGATTTCAAGGGGATGGTTATCCCTACTGCCAGGACTCAAGACCATTAAAGCCTGCCCCGATGACTGCACCTCCACCAAAGCGGTGGCTGCTGCTGAGCCTGCAGGCCATAGAATACAGCACCCAAAGGGGAATTGCACCTTGCCAGTGCACCACATTCTGCCGACTCAGGCCAGGGCCGTCATTGAGGGGCAGCATCAAGGTCATTCGCTTCTCCTCGGCGCGCACAAGATACTTCGGCATCTGCTTGCATGGCTTGCTTACATACGAAGCCCTGCCGGTCAGTGCAGCCCCTTGGTCTCTGCTAGAGTCTTCCACTGAGCTTGGGGCAGGAGAGGGTGAAAAGCCGAAAGGCCTGTCCGTAGTCTGCATGATGTCGATCAACCTCGACACGCAGGCAACGAGTGCCACAGCAGAAGCCTTCATAATAACAACAAGAAGAAGAACAATGATGGTAATAACAATTAATAACACAAATAATAAGAATACTATGCATTAAAAACGAACAAACAAAAGTAATGACATCCCAAGTAAAACTGCCCAGGAGCTCCGGCTCCCGTAGGGATGGTCTCGATTTACACTCCGAAGGCGCTCTCTCCTCACGCACCGGAAGTGGACCTCAAGTTTAGGATTTAGGGTCAGGGTTGAGGGTTTAGGGTTTAGGGTTCAAGTTTAGGGTTTGGACAAGTGGCGGAGGCTAGTTAGTTTATTCGAAGAGGTTGAAACTTTACCTAGAAGCGTTTTTTCCAGAGTTTAGGCCGTAACTCGCTCACTCGCCAGGCCAGGGTTTGTTTTATTGAAAGAAACTGACTAATTTGCTTTGGTGAGTTTACTTCTCCAGAAAAGAGGGGGTGGGGGGAAACTAACTAACTCGCTTGGCCGGGGTTTGTTTCTTCGAGTAACAACTAACTCGCCTGGGCAGAGTTTGTTTCTCCGGAAACAACAAACGTTTGCGGGTCATCTTTGTTTTGGTTTTGAAGAGCAAGGTTTGGGGGAAGCGGAAAACAAACTAACTCCGAAACTCTGACCCGAGGAGTGTTTCGGCGGGCACAAACGAACTCCGACCAGGCGAGTTTGTTTCAGCGGTGAAACAACAAACTCCGATGGTAGAAGTTTGTTTGTTTCAGTGACGCTAGGGGGAGTGGCTTGGGCGCCGGGGGGTGCAGGGGGCTTGTTTCTCCTACAAAAAACAAACTCTGTGGGGAGGGGTTTGCTTTTCCGAGGACAAACAAGCTCTGAGGCAGGGAGGCGCAGGGGAGTTTATATGTTCCTACAAAAAAAACAAACTCTGCGGGGGGGAGGGTTTCCTACAAAAAACAAACTCTGTGGGGAGGGGTTTGCTTTTCCTAGGACAAACAAGCTCTGAGGCAGGGAGGCGCAGGGGAGTTTATATGTTCCTACAAAAAAACAAACTCTGCGGGGGGGGAGGGTTTCCTACGAAAAACAAACTCTGAAGGGAGGGGTTTGCTTTTCCTAGGGCACACAAGCTCTGAGGCAGGGAGGCGCAGGGGAGTTTGTTTTTCCTACAAAAAACAAACTCTGCCGGGTGGGGAGGGGTTTTCCTTCGAAAAACAAACTCTGAGGGGAGGGGTTTGCTTTTCCTAGGACAAACAAGCTCTAAGGCAGGGAGGCGCAGGGGAGTTTGCTTTTTCCTACGAAAAAAAAACTCTGCGGGGCGGGGGAGGGGTTTTCCTACGACAAACAAACTCTGAGGGGAGGGACGGTTTGTTTTTCTTACGA